GTTTAATGTAAAAAAGAAAGAAAAACCTGTAAATAGATCAAGGTCTGATTTTTGACCTCTAGGCATGTCCTCCAGTCAAGTCCGATGGCTGCCACACTCTGTCCCCAGAGTCTATCCTTTGCACTCCCTTGGGAGCTCCCTACTCTGTTGCGCCTTTAGTGTTTTGCCTCAGTGTCGCGAGTTCAGTCAGGGCCAATCCGAACACTCAGTCTCCAGTGTTGTCCCCCATAGGGCCATGGGTCAGTGAGGGACATCATGTCTCATAGTGGGATCAGCCATATGGTCCACTCTGTGCATTGGCTGTTCGGAGCAGGGATATCCTCCTCCAGGACTGGTGGGCCAGGATATGCTCCTCTCTCTCTTCCTCCCCCTTCATTTGCTCCCATGTGCTCTGATCAGTCATGTCCCTCTCCCTGAGCTGCAGCTTCAGTGCTGTCCTCTCAAGTAAATTCTTCTGGGGAGAGGGGTAGTTGTCCACATAGCTGGTATGAGGGCCAAGGTTCTCAGGTTTGTCCCAATTCCCTCATTAATGGCCCTAATTTGGGGGAGTTTTATCTCAAGGTCTGGATCCACCTTGAGTTTATTGTTGTACATGGAGTGAAGTAAGGGTCTTGCTTCATTTTTCTGCAGGTAAGTATCCATTTTTCCAGTACCATTTATTGAAGATGGCATATGCTTCCCATTTAATATTTTTGGGGCCCTTATCAAAGATCAGTTGCCCGTATGCTAATTTTTTATCTCTGGGTCTTCAGCTCTTTTCCATTGGACTGAATATCTGTTGTTATACAAGTACCACACTGTTTTGAGTACTGTGGCCGTATAGTATGTGCTAATGTCAGATAGAGCAAGTCCTCTCCCTGTGTCTTTCTTCTTGAGGAGTTCTCTGCTAATTCTGGGCTTCTTCCCCATCCATATGAAGTTGGTAATCAGTTTTTCCAATTCTTTGAAGAAGGATGATTGTATTCATATCGGGATAGCATTGAACTTATATACTGCCTGTGGCAGAACTGAGATCTTTACTATATTGAGTCTGCCAATCCATGAGCATGGGAGGTTCTTCCATTTGTTGAGGGTGCACTTGGTTTCTTGTACTAGTGTATTATGATTTTCCTCATACAAATCTTTCATTGTTTGAGTCAGGTATATCCCTAGATATTTCAATTTGTGCTTGGCTATTGTAAAGGCTACTACCTTTTTAATCATCTCTTCTGTGATCTGGTCTGATGTGTAGAGCAGTCCGATAGACTTCTGTTTGTTCATCTTGTATCCTGCCACTCTGCCATATTCCTCTATTGCTTCCAACACTCCACTTGTGGAGTCTAGGGGATCTTCGATTTATGGAACCATATCGTCTGCGAATAATGATAATTTCACCTCTTCCTTCCCCAGATGAATACCTTTGATGTCTTTTCTTTGTCTTATGTTGTTAGCTAGGACCTCCAGTACGATGTTAAATAGGAGTGGGGCCAACGGGCATCCTTTCCTAGTCCCCTTTTTCAGTGGAATTGTTTTTGCCTTTTCTCCATTAACTACCATTTTGGCTGCTGGTTTTTCATATATAGCTTGTATAACCTTGAGGAATTTTCCTTCTATTCCTATCTTCTTGAGTGTCTTAAATAGTAATGCGTGTTGGATGTTGTCGAATGCTTTTTCTGCATCTATCAATATTATCATGTGGTTCTTATCATTTTTCCTGCCAATGTGGTGAGTACTACTGATGGTCTTTCGTATGTTGAACCATCCCTGCATCCCTCATATGAATCCCACTTAGTCACAGTGAGTTATTTTTTTAATATACGTTTGTATTCTATTGACTAATATTTTGTTAAGGATTTGTGCATCAATGTTCATTAGAGACATTGGTCTGTGGTTCTCAATTGTTGTGGGATCTTTGCCCACTGTAGGTATCAGAGTTATACTAGCTTCATAGAAAGAGTTTGGGAGTTTTCCATCTTTTTCTATGTTTTGGAAGAGTTTGTGTAGGATTGGTGTCAGTTCCTCCCTGAATGCTTGGTACAATTCTCCTGTGAAGCCATCTGGCCCAGGGAATTTTTTTTTGTTGGCAATCCCTTGATAACCTTGTCTATTTCTTCCATTGCTGTGGGTCTGTTGAGGTTCTTGACATCCATCTGGGATAGTCTAGGGAGGGATTGTGTTTCCAAGTATTTGTACATGTTTTCCAAATTGTTCAATTCGTTCGAGTATAGGCTTTCATAGTACTGTGTAATTATCCTTTTGATTTCATTAGGGTCCATTGTAATGTCCATTGTTTCATCCCTCATCCTTGCTATTGTCATTTGTTCCTTCCTTTCTTTGGTTAGGTTTGCCAGCAGTCTCAATTCTGTTAATTCTTTCAAAGAACCAACTTTTAGCTGCATTAATTTTTTCCATAGTTTTCTTGTTTTCCCTCTCCTGTAACTCAGCTCTGATTTTTATTATATCTATCCTCTTGCTATTAGTAGGGTTGTTCTGTTGACTCTGCTCTAATTGGTGTAAGTT